TAAAATTATTAGTATTATATTAGTTTGCTAGAGCTACCATAACAAAATACCACAAACTAGATAGCTTGAACAACGTATTTTATTTCTTTGCAGTTCTGCAGGCTGTGAAGTCTGAAGCCAGGTTGTAGCAGGATTGGTTTCTTCTAAGGCCCCTCTCTTCTTGGTTTGTAGATGGTTGTTTTCTGCCTGTGTCTTCACATAGTCTTTCTTCTGTGTCTATCTGTGTCCTAATCTCATCTTCTTATAAGGAGACCGTATTGGATTAGGTCCACCCTGAGAGTCTCATTTTAATTTAATCCAGCCTTTAAAGGCTCCATCTCTAAATAGTCACATTCTGATATACTAGGGGTTATTATTTTAACTTATGATTCGGGGAGGAACATAATTCAGGCCATAGCAGGTATATATATATACTGAAACTCATCAAATTGTATGCTTTAAATACATTCAATTTATTGTATGTTGGTTATGTCTCAACAAATGTGTAAAAACATGGAGGAAAGGAATATGCTCATATTTGTATTTGCTTTTATGTGCATAAAAGAGTGATTGCCTTTTGCAGAAAAGGTGAGTGCATACCAGATAGCGTTCAAAAATAAGACTTTTTAAAAATATGTAAATATATTACTGATTCAGAGAAAATCTCATAAATACATATTTTTAAACATTAATAAAGTAATGACACCAAGCGCTTTGGGAGTTTAGGAGAGGCAGCAGTCACTGTGAGTTGAGGTTAGAGATTCTGGCCTACAAAACTTATCACAGGTTCTGCTCTCTGTGGTAAGTTTCGCTTAGCTTTATTCAAGATTGTCAGTCTAGCCTTGACTGTATCATTGTCCCATATCTACTTTGTAACTGTTGTACTGTCAAAAACTTTACTGTTTTTTAAACTCATCTTGTCCGTATGTTCTTACAATAAGAACATAAAAAGATTTACTTCATTGTAGTAAAACATAGCTATATTTAGGAATAAATTACAGTTTCTAAGACAGCTTTAGTTTTATTTATTTGCCTAAATTGATTGCTCCTCCATGTCTTTATCCAACTTCATTTGTTTCTTAACTTCATTAGGTCAGTTTTTTGGTAGTTTGTAGGCTGAAAGAAAGGGTTTGAGCTTTGTTCTCCTATGAGTTTTCTCCTTTATAGTTATTTTATAACCCAAACATCTATTAGCGATTAAGTTAAAGGATTTGAGGAATAATTTGTATATCTTGTAGAACTTTGGTATAGAAAATTGTCCTAATAATATATTTTTATAGGAAAATGTTTTCAATTAATACATTTTACCTAACTGTTAAGACTGCTTTAAATTAAAGCTGGGACAGTGGAATTTTAGGAAAATAATACAGGTTTGCTTTTTCATGAGATATTTGAATTCAGTTCAAAGGGCATTCTAAAGCCCTCCTTCTTTTCTTCATTCATTGCTGACCTATTTTCAATATAAATGGAAGATTGTAACAGCACTAAATTTGGGCCTTATATAAAGATGTCATAGGGAGTTGGCTGAGGCTCCATCCTAAATGAGAATTGTTAGTTTGCGGGTGTTCTCAGGAATAACAGATAAAGGTTTATTCTGTGCTATAGTTGTTTCCTGTTTGTGGCAATACCATGGGACACATTCAGGTCCAGGAATCCAAATTCGGAAATGCTCTCTGGGAGTATCATCTTACTTTGTCTTCTAGCCCTAATTTGAAATTCTTTGGAATAAGGAGGCAAAGTGCATTCTTGTCCTGGCTCTTATTATAACATTTCAGTGACTTTGGGCAGATTTCTTAACTTTTTCAGATATCAATTTATTCACCTGTAAATTGAAGGGATTATAGCTAAGACTTCTTAAACACTTACTTCGTGGCAGACACTTTTCCATGTGCTCTATTTTTATCTGCATTAATTTATTTATACAACCACTCTGTGAGGTAAGCATTGTTTTTAGCCCCATTTTAAAACTGTGGAAGCAAATTATCATCATCATCTATCCCCTTTGTCTTCATTTTTTTCTACATCTTCTAACATTATCTTTCTATATCTTCTAACTTTTTTTGTTTTTGTTTTTGTTTGAGACAGAATCTCGTTTATCACCCAGGCTGAAGTCCAGTGGCACTATCTCGGCTCACTGCAATCTCCGCCTTCCGGGTTCAAGCAGTTCTCCTGCTTCAGCCTCCCGAGTAGCTGGGACTACAGGCACGCGCCACCATGCCCGGCTAATTTTTCGTATTTTTAGTAGGGACAGGGTTTCACCATTCTGGCCAGGCTGGTCTTGAACTCCTGACCTCATGATCCACCTGCCTCAGCCTCCCAAAGTGCTGGGATTACAGGCGTGAGCCACCGTGCCTGGCCCTTCTAACATATTTTTAATTAAACTTTTTAAAATCAATATCCTCATTGTACTCTTTGCAGGATACTGTTTTTTGGGTTGGGGTGGGGGTTGTTTTTAGACAGGGTCTACTTCTGTCATCCAGCGGGGAGTGTGGTGACGTGATCTCGGCTCACTGAAACCTCTTTCTCTGGGCTCAAGCTATCCTCCCACCTCAACCTCCCAAGTAGCTGGGACTACAGGTGTGCAACCCTATACCCAGTGAATTTGTGTATTTTTTGAAGAGACTGGTTTCACCATGCTGACCAGGTTGGTCTTGAACTCATGGACTCAAGCAGTCTGCCTGCCTCAGACTCCCAGAGTATTGCGATTACAGGTGTGAGCCACCATGCCCAGCGTACATTTTAAAATATTATGTAAAAATAGAGATTTATGTAACTATTTTCAATTGACTTGATAAAGAAGTACAGTGCCCTATCTAAATAATGTAAAACATGTTTATTTGGGTTTATAAACACTGTGCTTGAAACTTCCCTGAGTTTGTTCATCTGCACTGTACAGCTTTCACCTCAGTTCTGTGGCTTTCACAGTCCGAACAGGCTCTCTACTGCAGGAATTAATACTTCTCTGAGTCTTGCAGCTTCCTAGCTGTGAAGGCTCTGCCAAAACCCTCAGCTTCAGCTGCCCTTGTAGATTAATTATTCATTAAGGCAGCCTCCAGTATAGGGGCTGGAAACAGGGAGGGGAGGTAATGTTTGTATAAAGTGAATTTTTTGTTTTGACTTGATTTGGGGTTTTTTGCTTCCTATTAGATTACTGAGTCTCAACATTTAAGAAATTAGGATACTATGGATTTTTTAAAATTTTTTCATAAGTAGTAGAAAGATTATCTTCCCATTATCCTTGCAAAGTAGGCATCTACATATCAACTGAGTCTTTTCAGAAATATTGCTGTAAATTATTCATTTTCCAATTGCCATCAAATCCACATTACTTGCATAGTAAGACATTTCAGTAAATAAATAGACATCAGAAGTGATCACTTTTTACTGTGTTTCTCCAGGAATATGCTGAATCTTCTTAGACCCTTTTATTAGGCTAGTACATGATTTTGGCTTCCTATCTATTCTTTCTTTAAAGAATAGTGGGATTTTCATTTAATTTTGCAGAAGAATTTTAAAATGGCTGCTGAAATGGCAGCAAGATAGGCATAAATATTTATTGAACATAAGCTGCTAGTTGCTATGATTTGGCTTTAATTATCTATAAATGTAGTTTTAGAATTGTGTTTAAAATATCTGAGGTTATGCAGAAATGCACCTTAATATTGTGATACATTTGACTCATTTTGTAGTAGAATTAATAAATTATATTTCATTTCAGTTATAATGACCAATCTTTAATTTGTAAATCTTAAATTCTCTAGTACCAGATTCAAGATGTTTTATGTTACAAACTAAGCAGAGATTTCATGTTGTTGTCTGTGACTGTTACATATAGTTTCTTTAGGGAAAATTCGATTTTAGTTAAAGGTACTAATATTGCCAGAGATGTATTTTTAATGACTGACTTACCCATCTTTGCCTCCTTTCTAAACCCTTTGTTTTCTCCCTGTCCTACTCCAGGGCTGATGTACAATAAAGCCAATGCAGCTTAAGCTTTAAGACCCCCTCATTTATCTCTTCCAAATCCTATCAGGGACCATGGTCATTTTGTATTAATACTGCATTTGTTCTCTTAAAGAGGACCCTTCTAATTACATAAGCTTCTGTATACACACAACCTCTGTATCCAACATAGGATTGTATCTTATAAGATTCTTCTTAGTGGCACAGCAGAGAGGACCAAAAAAGTGGGGGGAATGAACCTGTTTAAAATCAGAAATCATATAATTGATGGTAGAAAAAGGAGGTTATTTTTTTCTATACAGTTTGCAAAGCTGTATCAACAGCTACCAGAGTCTCTGCTGATATATCATGTATTTCATAAAACCTTACTCAGTCTTCCTTTATCATCGTGCTGGTAGGCGGATTCTCTTCAGCTTTTCAGCTCGTGTACAAGTAATAGAATAGTGGGCAAAATTCAGAGAGGCAGACTCTTTCACCAGCCCTGCTTTAACAGGAGTGGGAAGGTAATGTGCTGGGAGAGGACAACTTGGAATGGTCCACAAATTTGTGCTTTGGCATCAGATAGTCCTTTCATTCCCCACCCACCCCAAGCTGGTACTAGGCATCAAGGGTGCAAAATTTGAGGCATCAAGGGTGCAAAATTTACATCTGAATATGATAGACTACTAATTAAAAACTTATCTCCCTCACCCTCAATTCTAAAAAATTAACACCTAATGACTTTCATTGTGTTGTTTATTTGGTAAACCATTTTGTAGTAGTAGGGGCCTGATGTCAAGCAGATGTCTATCTAATCACCAAATAAATCACTTACCAGCATTGAGATCCTGGGCAAAATAACTTCCCAGAACTTTATTTTCCCCAATTAAGAAGGCCATAGGATTAAAAAGTATATACCTTTAAGGGCCTTATAATATGTAGGTACCACTGAATGTCACCTCCTTTCCCCACAAGGTTCTTGTTTGTACATGTCCTGCAGCCATGCCCTAAGTGTGGTCTGCCCAACTGGCTACTCTCACTTGATTAAAAAATATGTGATTGTCAAACGGTATTTTCAGAGAATGATGAGGAGCAGGAGGCGCTGCCATCTCTGGATAAACCTGGCTGGTACTCCCAAGGGAACGCTGTCCACCTCTATGAACTTCTGAAGAAAATGACTGGCAAACCTGAACCCAAGGTATTTTCCAGTTGAGGAGAAGCCCTCAGCGCCCACTTGCAGACATAAGCAGTTGTGAACTGCCAAACCTCTCCTAATTCTTCTGCTTAAATAAGCCTTTCCTTTGTCAGTGTAGACAGGCTGTCTATCTGTGATAGAGAAGAGCAAGGATTCCAGGCAGGGCACCACAGATTTAGGGGGTGTGTGAGTGTGTAGGATGCCTGTGGAATGTTAATCCTGATAACAATCCATCCAAAAAGTTTTCATATATAAAACAAACAACTGAAATTATGCTACAGACTAGCTTAAAGATACACTTGTTTTTGACAGCATGATCACATTGTTGATGTTGGACACTGGTGCATTTCTAACAGCAGAACCCTTTCTTCTAAGAAAATATTTACCAGAATTTCTGTGAGCTGAGAGATCATGGGGTAACAGAGCCCTGCTCCATTGGCTGTCACCATGCCACAGTCCCCTGGGGACTCCTGAGGGTTAATGTATGGAGCAGTCTGACTTGCAGATGCTGATTCTCATATCCCTTAACTCTGTTTTCACATCTGAAAATTGAGAGGTATGGACTCAGTCAATGGAGTTTTGCCTCAGACTACCTAGGGAACTTTCCAGCTTCAACATGCCTAGCCCCACTCTCACAGATTCTGTTTCAACCAATCTGAAGTTGGGCCCAGAAACTCTCTTGAAAAGTGGTTGTGATTTGCACTTTTAATAATCTCAAATCCACAAGTTGTCTCTAATACCTCATCAGCTCTTCAACTGCAGGGGCCATTTTATTAGTAATTGTAAACATCTATGTAAACATATAGGTTCACTTCTTTAGGAAAATTGAATAAAATCACTTATTTCACCTTATGGTCTCTTCCACCTGTGAATGTGTTGTATAACCTCTTAAGACAAATCTGGCACCCTGTGAATCAAATGAGACAAGTTGATGGTCACCTGTGAGGTTATTAAAGACGTTTAAGCTGTTTATGCAGTTTTTGATTGTCATACTCTGATGCCTGTTGAGAAATTTTCTTCTTCTTTATATGAAATAAATGCCACTCTCTTTCACAATTCTGTGCCTCAAACAGCATCTGCTATCTGTCTTACAGGTTGTTTATTTTGGTGACAGCATGCATTCAGACATTTTCCCAGCTCGTCACTATAGTAATTGGGAGACAGTCCTCATCCTGGAAGAACTCAGAGGGGATGAAGGCGCGAGGAGTCAGAGGCCTGAGGAGTCAGAGCCTCTAGAGAAGAAAGGAAAATATGAGGTTAGGGTTCCCTGCATCTCTTTCCTTGAAAGAAAAATATTTATGTTTGAAAGCTAAAGTATCTTTATACTACTTGACTCCAAAATTGTCCTGGTCAGGCTGAACGCCATCATGTTAAAAAAAAAAAAAAAAAAAAAGACCAATAATTTGAAACTTTGTACCAATTTTACTGACTTCATGTTCTATTTATACTGAAAGCAATAAATAAGAATCCTGTCCTCATTCCTTTCTAAAAAATAAATACTAAATAAGAAAATTAGACCAAGTTGTTTTTTAACTACCCTTTAGACATCATCATCATCATAATAGAATTACAGAGTTATTTTTATTGTAGGGAAAAAAATTCTCTTTCTAGGTTGCTCTGTTTGGGCTAGTTTTCAGATAATAACTAACTGACCATATAAAAACCTAGTTTCTGTTTAAAATAAAGGATACTTCATAATAAGGAGGAAATATTATTCCTGTTCCAAAAACTTAATGTGTGCCCAAAGCCTATTTGTAGATTCCTACAGGGTTTCAAAGTTTTTATTTACTTCATAGACAAAAAAGTTATGAGATTGAACATTAGTTAATCACCATTTTAATTATTCTGTTCTCTTGTTTCAGGGACCAAAAGCAAAGCCTTTAAATACTTCATCTAAAAAATGGGGTTCTTTTTTTATTGATTCAGTTTGGGGACTGGAAAACACAGAAGACTCCTTGGTTTATACATGGTCTTGTAAGAGAATCAGTACTTACAGCACGATTGCAATTCCAAGTATTGAAGCAATTGCAGGTAAGGGGGAACATACCTATAAAGCTTCATCTGTTACTAGACAACAATGACCAGTACTAGAATTCTTGTCTTTAAGAAAAAGAAATCTTCCCACAACATTGATTTATCTTTGGGGAAAACATCTTCTAGATCTGGAACCTAGGTAACTAGGACCAGCACTTCTGTGGGAGGCAACTACAAAAGCTCGACAATTTTTTTTTTTTTAAATTCAGCTTGGAGGCATATTATAAATTTAGGGAAGAGTTACCAGGACAAGCTGAGGAGGCCCAGTAAGGTGAACCTCGCATTTGAGGCTACTTTTCCCCCTGGGTGTTTGCTGATTCTGGAGAGGGCACCACAGAGGGTGAGTGGGCCTTTCAGTAACTTCATGAATCTACAGGAATAGGAACTGGAGGAGAGGGCCTGCCTGAGGAGGGGTGGGTCTGGTGAACTCCCTCAATCTATGTTGAGGCCCTGAAGTGCTTTACTTTAGAATAAGGATGAATTGAGAAGAAATCTCCATTTTCACAGGAACTAAAACTCAGCTTGAAATCAGCTGAATACCTAAAATTGGATTGAGGAGATTCCAAATTAGTAGTGCCCCAATATATTAGTAGAAACAAATATAGATTCTCTTTTGAGGAGGATAACATCATTCTAGGACTCAAATTATTTCTAAAAACAATTCATATAAAATTCAGCACATAATGAAAAATAGCCAGGCACATAAAGATATGAGACCACACTAACAGAAATAACCATGCTTATTATAGTCAAATACAGAAACGGAAGGAATGAGAAATTTGGTAGAGACAAAAACTATGGTATAAACTGTGATATAAAAAGAATGGAGACTGCAGAATTTAAATATTTAAAAAATGAAATTAAGAACTTAACAGGTGGATTTAATAGCAAATTAGACAGAGATGAAAAGTCACTTAGTGCACTGGAAATTAGGTCAAAAGAACATATTTGGAATGAAACAGTAAGAGAAAAATCATAAAAGGTACAGAAGAGAGACTCAGTCTCACATAAAAGATATAGTGAGAAGGAGTAAGGTTTCTATGCAGCCAGCCTTCTGTATTCTCAGGTTTCACATTTTCAGATTCAACCAGCTGTGGATAAAAATTATTCAGAGGAAAAAAACAATAAAACATAATACAACAATTTAAAATGTTATAAATTTTTAAAAATACAGTATAACTATTTACATAGCATTTACATTGTATTCGATATAAGTAATCTAGTGATGAATTAAAGTATACAGGAGATGTATGTAGGTTTAATGCAAATATTATGCCATTTTTTGACTTGAGCATGCGCAGGTTTTGGTATCACAGGGGTGCCCTGCAGATACTGAGGGTCATCTGTGATTGGAGTCCCAGGAGATGAGAGAATAAGGGAGATGAGAGAAAAGTGATGGGAAAAAAATAAGCCAAAGGTTTAAGAAGCCCAAAGAAATGAAACAAAATGAATAAAAAGAAATTCAGAGTTAACTGCTAAATGCCAAAGATAATTAAATATTAAAAGCAATCAAGAGCATAAATATAGATTAAATAACAGATTGTCATCTGACTTATCAGAAACAGAGAAGAGTCAAAGACAATAGAATGATGACTTTAAATTGCTGAAAGAAAATCATGTGAATCTTGATGGAATTCTATACCCAGTAAACTTTTTAAAGAATAAAAGTAAAATATTGGCTGGGCTTGGTGGCTTATGCCTGTAATCCCAGCACTTTGGGAGGCCGAGGCGGGCGGGTGGATCGATACATCTGAGGTCAGGAGTTTGAGACCAGTCTGGCCAACATGGCGAAACCCCGTCTCTACTAAAAATACAGAAATTAGCCAGGTGTGGTGGTGGGTGCCTGTAATCCCAGCTACTCGGGAGGTTGAGGCAGGAGAATTGCTTGAAGCTGCGAGGCAGAAGTTGCAATGAGCTGGGATCACACCACTGCACTCCAGCCTAGGTAACAGAGCAATACTCTGTCTCAAAAAAAACAAAAAAAAGTAAAATATTTTTAGACAGAATAATAAAGAAAATGTATATCCAGAAACCTGCACTAGAGGAAATAAAGATTATTGTTCTCCAGGTACAATTAAAAATAATTCATGTTGGAAGACTGGAAATGCAAGAAGAATGTATGTGATATAAGTATATGGTATAAGTGTATGAATTGAAAATGAATGCTTAGTGTTTGAAACAATAAAAATTAAAGTCCCATGGGATTTACATAAATAGAGAATTAAAATGCCTGACAACAATGGCATGTATATGCCAGAGTGGGGCAGCAAAAATTAACATGTTCTAACATGCTAGAATTAAACAATTAAGGATAAGACTATGTTCAATTTTGATGTCGGAAATGCATGTTGTAATCTCTAAAATAACTGTCAAAAGAATTGTGATGATATACATATACCAACCTACTATGTAAAATAATTTAAGAATCTAAAAGAAAACAAAGGGGATGAGAGAATATTAAGAATCAGCAAGACAAATGGAAAGCATTTAGTAAAATGTTTAATTTAAACCTGAAGTAATTACATTAAATATATGTGACCAAATACTCCAATTAATAGCTGATTTTTAAAAAATAACAATACTCAGCCGGGCACTGTGGCTCACACCTGTAATCCTTGCACTTAGTAGAGATGGGGTTTTACCATGTTAGCCAGGATGGTCTCCATCTCTGGACCTCGTGATCTGCCCACCTCGGCCTCCCAAAGTGCAAGGTTGTTTATAAGAGATATATCTAAGACATAAGGATTCAGAAAGTTTAAATATCAAAAGATGGATGAAATAATACCATGCTAACAGTAACCAAAAGACAGAGTAACTGCATTAATATGAAACACAGTAGATATTAAGGGGAAAAATGATTAGCATGAGAGAGATCACTTCATGAATACAAACTCTTAGTTCTCAGAAATATATAACTGCCAGTCTAAGATACTCACAAAGTCCCCTGTCCTCTCTCAGGTCAGAACTTAATCTCTCCATTTTCACAATACCAAGAAAATGCCTAAGAAAGAAAACATCCACTCTTCTTTATACAGGCATATGCTTTTCCGCTTGGATTCTTAGTTTCCAAGTTTCCTTCAGCATTTGGCAAAGGGTTTGAGGAGAAAACCGCCAGAGTCCAGTTCTCTAACCCTTCCTTTACAGTGGTCCTAGCCCCTCAATTTTTGTCTCTGCAGCCCTGCAAGACTGCCAAAATCTCTACTGGTTTTTCTGCTGCTTATAGTAACCCCTACCACCAGCCAGGATCCCAGCACCAGAGGAGAAAAGCTGAAGCTTAGTGCTAGCTCCTCTCTCCGCTGGTTCCTCCTTCCCAGGAATTGTATCTTAAGTCTTGGTTGCCTCTTTAGCTCTCTGGTGACTTCAGTCTCATGTTTATATTTTATCCAGATTTTCTAGTTGAAGTTAGAAGTCTAGTTAATTTTTTTGAACTTCAGATTCTTCTTCCTTCAATTGAAGAAAGTTGCCATGTTGTATGTATTAAAATTCTTATTTAGCTAAGCATTTGAAGATTATTCTTAGTAACCTTCTTCCTGGGACCATGAAGAAGATTATTAGGTCTCATTCACCAGTTACATGATCCTCTGAGGAGGGCCTGGGAGGTTTTTTTTTTAATTTTTATTCAGATAAGCTTTCATATTTTTGTATTAACTTCTGTGCAGAGTATTAAAATTAAACTCACTAGTTAGAGCTCTGGGGATGATTTGAGGTATCTCTAAATGTGATTTGCCTTAAGCATTATTATAAATTGTATAGGGAAAGATATCTAACTCTTCATCCTAAGTGACCTTTTATAGACCTTTTCTGTAATATGGGAGAAAGAATAAAATTAAATTGTTTTAAATGAGATAGGAAGTGAAAAATAGCTTAATACATCCCTTTTGCCTCTTGAAACCTTATATTCAAGTAATGTTTCTGTATTTGTGGATATTCTGTTAGACATGGTTATCTCGTTCACATTTAAATGCCTAGAAGCCTTTTTTATAGCTGTTGTAAAAGTTTGTATTTATTAGCCATATATATATGTTACAATGGTGATTGGTTTATACACATTTTTAACCTTATAATAATAGCTACACAGAGACCTACTGAAGGAGCAAAAGAAATGTTAAAATTTTACAGGTTTCAAAAATAAGTTTTACTATCAGTGAATATCAAGTTTTGATTTGTTTATGAAAGGCATTCAGAGGCCTGTGCAATAATTAAACTTTTTTTTCCTCCCCAGAATTACCTCTGGACTACAAATTTACAAGATTCTCTTCAAGCAATTCAAAAACAGCTGGCTACTATCCAAATCCTCCACTGGTCTTAACAAGCGATGAGACACTGATATCCAAATAAGTTGTCTTTATTGGAAAATGAAGTGAAGACCCATATAAGCAGTAAAAAAAAAAAAAAAAAAAAGTCAAAAAATACTGTAAAAGACTTTAAGGAACGAGTTTTATTGACCAAGAAGTTGATATTTGCCCATAGGTCTCCTTTCTATAAATCATCTTGATGTTTAACAACTCTTATTATATTAAAATCTTAGTATCCTAAAACTTAGAACCTTATTGATATTTTCTATACAATAGTTTTGTGATTAGAATTCACCTGGGGACACACACTCCCACACACAGTCACTCCTACACATATGCCTAGTTCAGTGGTTCTCAAAGTGTGATCCATAGACTAATAGCAGAGCATTACCTGAGAACTTGATAATGCACATTGTAGGCCCCACCCAAAACCTGTTGAATCAGAAGCTCTGAGAGTGGGGCCTACCAATCTGTGGTTTAACAAGCCCATCAGGTGATTCTAATTTACACTACAGTTTGAGACCCACCGACCTAGAACATATCCTCCAGAGACTTGGCTTAATTGGTCTGACTAAATATAGCTGAGCATTGTTACTTTTTATATGCCCTAGGACTTCCAAAATCACCCTATCCAACAAAATCTTATTCCTCAGTATTAATTTCTCTCATTGGGAAGAAATTTGTAGTTGAAACTATTTAATTTAATTTGAATTTAATTTCTGTAATTGGGAAGGAGGGTAATAATGAACAAAAAGTTTGAGAAAAAAATGCTTTAAGGGGTTTTACAGGCATACTACAGTCCACGACTGTGGTGTTCTATGTGCTATGTATAGTCATATTAGTAGCTATTTGTTGCAAGATACTTGAAGCCAAATGTTTGCAGTATAGGTTCCTGGCTACTCTTTAAGCTGTGATTTCACTCTGTCTATCATGGGCAGTATTAGAAAACATACTGGTTTTCACTATCTGGTTTTCAAACACTATCATTATTTTACCTGGATTGTAGTGGAGAATTGAGCATATCAATGCATGCATTGGAAAGAAAAAAATTTTGTTAAAATTTGGAAATGTTCAGCTAAATCCCAGATATACTGTGGGATGAGTTATCTCAGGGTAGGTAAAAAAAAAAAAAAAAATTACTAAAATTTTTCCCTCACAGTCAGTAGCTTTCTTTGATATTTAACAATAAGTATATAGTGATATACTTGAAGTTTATGTCCAGAATGTCATTGGAATATTACAATGAGCATAAGTAAGCTTAGGACTACATGAAAGATGCTATCTCGTGTATGCTTTAAATAGAAAATTGATTTCTTTTAAAAATAAAGCTATTTTTCCTTATCCATGTTTATTCTGTAAATGGCAAATAATACATCTTTAAATACTTATAAACTACTGTTAATATGAAAAATGAGAACTCCAAAATAAGAAATAATTGCACTTTTTGGGCCACTGAGTAGTGGCGGGGGTTCGGGAGGCAGAATTCGGTTGTCAGAAGTTCTACGCGCCCCTTTAGCATTCTACCTAAAGACCCTGAATAAGTTACCACCAAATTTGGCTTCAGTTTTTTCCATCTTATAAAAGGAGAGGTTTAGTTTATTTCTAAGTTTCCCTCCTTTCTAGCAGTCAGTATTTCTTCTAATGAATGTTTTTTTCTATAATTAGCAAGACTATAATTTGGTTTTTTAAATTTGTATTTCATTGTTTCTAAAAAGTGCCAGTGTTTCTGATTGGATATGGAGATTAAAAATAATCATCCAAATGTGGCACCAAAAAAATTAAAAAGAAAATATTAAAGTAGTTATATGAAACAAAAAAATTGTATAAATGGGCAGAAGACATGTAATATTTGCATACAGGCAAACATTCATAATCTAAAGGACACCTAAAAATAGATTTAAGGGAGCGGAGGTTTTCTTTGCTGGCCACTGTTCATCGCATCAGCAGAGGAAAGATCTGAATGGCTCAGTGACCAAATGTTTTGTCAGAATCTGGTATTTGGAATACTGAGGTAGTAAAAACTTCAACTGAACCATGAATTGCAATCTAAAATCAACTGAGTTTGTTAAACTCTAAACTGAAATCAAGTATTATTTCCCCACCAATGTTCATATCCAAAAATAACTTTAAATACACACATACACACACTTTTAGTGAACTGGTTTGAATGAAAATAAATTTATATAATTATTTTATATAACAAATCAGCATAAAGTGGAAAATCAAACTGCCTCTCTAGATATAATAACCTTGACTGAATGGTAGAAATACATGGATAGCTTTTTAAAATACTCAGTGTTGGAGTAACAGTCCCTTACATCTTTTCAGGCTCTTGAGCACAAGAAGACTATCCTAACAGTTGGTTCCCAGATTGGTGCAAGACTGGAATACACTTGACTGCTTTTGTTAAAGCCATGACAGCATACCAAGTAATTCACCCAGTATGGTCTTATGGCCATCCTTGAAAATCCCTGGGCATGGTCCAGTTCACATAGAATGAATTCAAAAAGGTGTCTCTTGTTGGTCTCTAGAACTATCCACAGAAATAATCGTAAAATAGTGGTCATAAGTGCTGACTCCTCGCTAGGCTACTTCATGTACATTGTCTTGTTTACTCTCTATAGCAACCATATGGGATGTATATAATTATTAAATTGTACAGATGGGAAAACTGAAATTCAGAGAGATTAAATACAATGCTTGCTCTACGTTACACTGTTACTAAGAGAGCAATACATGAACTCAGGTTTGATCCTCAAAATCACACTTTTAATTACTTGATACATAATGTCTTCCAATGTTGAATCTAGACTGGGGCAAATTCTCAGCCCAAAACCACACTTCAATTTAGCAATAATGCCATTCTAGGACATGAGAAGGATTAAAAGTGAAGACACAGTCTCCATTCTTAAGTAATTCATAATTTGGCCAAATATATTAAATATCTGTAATATAAAACCTAGGAGAGTAAAATAGAGATCCAAGAATCATAGGAGTCCTAAAGCATATAATGAATTTGCTCTTCTTGGAAGCCACACACACCAAGGTCATCAGTAAGCAGGCCTACTCTTTCTTCGTATTCTGGGTTAATGTTCACCTTGACTGCTTGGTTAATTTTCCTCAGTTGCTGAAGTAACCAAAATGGAGAATGAGTGATGAAAACTCATCTTTGAGTAAACTTGGTGGGAAATGGGATATCTGGGCCTATAGAGAAGTTGAGTCGTTACTTAGAATGACAACTAGAAAAGTACATAGACTGCTTGACAATTAGTTTCTTGAACCACGTACCTGTTCACAGACTTTTCAAAAAACAAGTTTGTTTTACTTTTTTTGGTACTTTGGTCATGTTACTTCCTTGGTAAAGATCAAAGTTTAATAAAGCTTAACAAAGTTTAATAAAGAAAAGGAATAAACTACTATCTAAATGTGTTAAAAGCAATCACCAAGTTTAATCAATTTAAAAATATTCTCTTAATTTAATGGAAATGTCAGCAGTTCTTTACAATGCTTAGCAGCTAAATTCTGTGAGTATAACATTTAATGTCTTTTTGGTACATTAAATGTTCAATGCCTTTGATGAAGGGAACAAACTGTTAATTTCATTCATGTGCAGCAAACATCAAGATTACATAAGTAAATTCAAATGTGTTCATCTGTAACTGTATGGAATCCTGTATTAAATCAAGGGATAAAATGTACTCCTCTCAAAGGCTGTTCATGAATGATTAAACATAACCTTCAACTGAGGCCTGAATACTCATGTCAATAGGGTTTAACATTTGTATGCCAAATTTACTACCATAGCTGTTATAGTGTGGAAGGTACGCTAGCTTGAAATCAGAAAACTCAGCAGTGAGACTTGCATCTTAGGCAGTTTACTTCCACTTTCTGGACCTCTGTTTTCTCAACTATTTAAATGGAAAGAATAAAATTTGTTACAAGGTTTATCAAAGTAATATGAGACTGCACTTCGAAGTGCCTGACATACCTCAGATCTTTTGAGGAGATTGTGAAGCCAGGGAATATGTCACTGAAACAAGATCAAATATCCAGGTCTTAAATTGTGATTCTGTAGGACAGGAACTCAAAAATTAAAAATACACGTAAGAGTTTTAGTTTTTGTTTGTTAATGACGAAAACTTTTAAGGACGCTTGAGTTAGCTGGAGACAAAGAAGCAGCACCAGGAGCAATGGGTAGAAGGGCCTGATAAGAAGGTCAGAGAAGCCTTTTATAAGTGTCTGGCTTGTGCTGAATGCCCAGAAATGGAAGCCCAAGGAAATGTTGTATGAGGACCAGGAAACTATGCAGTGTCACCACTACTCACAGAGATTATTGCCTGAGAAGACTAAAATGATAATACTTCTTAGGTGACCAGAGGATGGAGAACCTCTTAACAGGTTTGGAGGTCCACATAAAGAATAATTGGGGTCTAGAAGTATGGAAGAAAAAGCAATACAAAGAAATGGAGCAGGGCTATAGCAGTGAACCAATTGGTTGGTAAGTGAAACCTGTAAGATGCCTAATTGAGTAACTTAATGACTAATTTTATTAGACTAAACAGAACAGAAACCATGCTAGTCTGTAACAAATAAGTGGCACCAGCCTATTAGAGTGAATGCTATTGGTTAGACTAAAGCAGATAATAAGCCAAATGTAGGAAAAATGACATTTTCTGATTTCCAGAACAGGCACAGAAAACGTATAATAAAGCTTGAAACAGGTGGTTGACAATGCAGAAATCAGTCACTGAACTGAAAAGGTAAGATGAACATTGTTAGGGGAATTTAGGATTAAGATGGATGTAGAGCTTGCAAAAGAAAACCTAGCTCTCTAATACTTAAAGTTCTCCAGCCCTAGAAAAAAATACTGCAGCAAGAAATTGCAAGTAACAATTGCACCAGGAGTCAGCATCTATTTAACTGTATGTTTAATTAAGTTTCTAACTCAAATGAGAAATTTTGGGCCATTTTTGTCAAATTTTTGCTTAGATGGCTACGAATACTTGGCAATTCATTTTCACAGATTTTGCAGCATCCATAAAGCCCTCCTTACTGCAGAGAATGCAGAGGTATTTATCCAATAAAACTTCATGTAATTGCTGCTATACAGCAAAACTGTCATTACTGGTAATTAAAGTTGTGATACCTGATATCATTTGTCTCTAGACATTTTATTTCCTGTTTTCTTGGTATTCTTTTTAAAGCCACACACTGGTGTAAGAAAAGAATGTAAGTAGCACTCAGAATACACAATAATTAATTCTTCCAAAAGTCTATCTTAAGCTTATTGAGAGTTAGACCTCGGAAGGCACAGTTAATATAAATGTAATGAACAAGGATGCTGCATAGACAAGTTTTCCACTGAAAACAGTATTTTAAGTGATACTATATGGTGCTTCAATTACCACCAAAAACTGCACTGGTTATATAGAAAAAATAATGCTCATGAGTATGCAGTTGTAGTTGGGCTTCTATTTACCATTTTTCAAGTGAAAAATCTTAGGAGGTTTGGTGGCTGTTGCTTTTTAACTTTCAGGATGATAGTTACTGGTATCATTTGATAACTTTAATGATTTCCCAACCTTAAATTAACCTAGACAACAGAATTTTTTATTTATTTTTATTTTTTGATGAAAACAAGAAATACAGTAGTGACACTTTGTTTTTCCTTCAAGCACATGGGAGAAGACAAAAGTACTAATAATCATCATTGAGTTTGACAGAGAAATTCTACTAGTACTTACACTGCTTAGGAACATAAATGTCAAGTACATTACTAGGGCAAGAAGTATCAAGTAAGACAACAGAGTCATATTTTTCTTTTTGAGGTTATTTTCACAAGACATAGCAACAATTTGTAAAATATTCAGACTACTGAAAGATCACATTCAAATTATATTTCTAAGAATAGAGCCATATATGAACAGAGAGCAGAACAAGCTAATACATTAATGAATATTCACTGAAGTCTTCATACTGCACAGGACACAAATTTGGTATTTTTGCACATGTTGTCAATTATAAGCAAAAAGCAGGCCTGTAAACATCAATTTTGTCATAGGCTGAAACGGAGAAAGGAAATAGATTTTACTCAAAAACAGTGACATAAGGAGCATATACCATTAATCTTCCACACATATAAAGGTCACTCCTAGGATAATCGAGAGGAAACACCCAGACTTACAGTTTTGTTTACAAAAATCTACTGGTGAATTCAAGGACTTAGGAAAAATTGAAGGAAAATCTTCCTCCAAGCATACAATTTAAATCCCAGCTCCTCTTCCCTGGGGCGCACCTCAGGGGCCTACCCTCCCACCCCTGACCCTGCAGGGTCTTTCCTGTAGGCCTTTCCAAACCCACTCCACAGCAGGCTCATTTCTGCTCTGGACTTACTCAGTTTCCCAACCTAGACTAACCTCTCCACTGTGTGTGTTCAGACCTCCTCAACCCTAAAGGAGCTTAGGTCAAAGCCTTCAAAATCGAAAGGGAAAAAATTCCCCTTATCCCCTACAAGGAGGCTGGAGATCTTCCACAATGCAGGCTGCAGCCTGCTTCTTCATTTGTTAGGAGCAGGGAAGGAAATGCAGAAGCTGAGAAATGAGGGCCAAGAAAGCCAGGCAGTAGGATGAAGACACATGGGACATCAGGGCAGGAACAAAGTAGTACAAAGGAGAAGAATGACCTACAAAATGCTACCCTTGGGTCATTTCCAAGCAGTCCAAGGCCTAAAAAAGCATTTCCATCTTTAGAAAAGTGGAGTGAAGCTAAGTTTTGGTTGCCTTCGCTCACATCCTGTTCAGGACCTGTCCTGAACCTATCACTGTGAGGCCCTTCTCTCTCTTTCCAGCTTCTCAAACTAAAAGCTCAAGAAATACACAGGTTTTGGTAGAATGGATAGGGTAAAAGATAAAGATGTCAAAACCTGCCTAAAAGAACACTGCCTATAACTAAACAACCTATAGATCTGCCTGTGAAATTGTCAGACCTTGCTAAAGGAAGTGGGGTGGAGGAATAAGGGCAATAAGAGATCTGGAACCCATTTAATCATACCTTTCCTCTCTGAACACAATCAAGGAAAGAGCAAATTAAACAAAAAGTCTGCTTTGCCAGTTTTGTTTTCTGTTCATAAGCTAAAACTGCTTCAGAGTGAAAGGGAAGAAAAGAAGGGATGGGAGGGAGAGGGGAAGGGGGAGGGAGAGAAAGAAAGAGACACAGAGGCAGAGGCATAAGAAGTCTCACATTCCAGAAATATCTCTTCCTCAATGCCCCAACTCTGGCAACTTTGTCATGTTCAGAGTGGGAGCAGGCGGGGAAAAGAGGAAATGCCTAAAGAAGTTGCTCAGATTAAGGATGGTTTGTTGGCTAGCAATCAGAAAGACTAAGCTGGAAGGGACTGCGCTCCAGCCTTGCTTTGGGCACTGTCACATATGACTGCCCATCCTGGTGGCAGGGGGTGTTCCTGTGAGCTCCCTGGGAGCTACGTCTACAGATAGTTCCTGAAGGCAGACAATGGTGGCCTAAGCAAAGTTCAACCAGAAGGTGAGAGCAAGTAGGGCTGGGCTATAGCACAGGCTTCATACTTACCAGTAGCTGGTCATGATGTAGAGTAACCAAAGGTACAGGAACACCAATGTGATATCATAGAACACTTTTCATCTATTACCTCATTCATGCCTAGCAGTCACCCACCAGCCACCAGCTTGTTCTACCAGATAACCAGTAGGGTGGATGGCACAAGCCCAGGAAGGCAGCTGGGATCCAGTTGGTGGCAGTCTGGAATGTCCAATTTGGGTTGACGGCTGGGTTAAGATATCAGTTTTGTCTTGCAGTGGTAATACCTAAAGAGCTTACCATAAGTACATGGGTATCAGGTACACAGCCAGCATAAAGTATGAAGCCCAGTCAGTTATTTGTGAAGATGTATCAAGATTCTTTGTGGTACAGAACCACCTAAACTGGGAGAAGACCACGGTCACAGACAGGGTCCAAGCCATGCAAAGAAAGGCAGTATGGTACAGTACATCTATAGTATCATGTTTGGCATAGAAGCCATAGAAGGCCATGCACTTGAAACATGTTAACACAATGCAGAAAGTCATGAAGGTCCAGAGGAAAAATGGCATGGGCAGGTAAGCCAATAATCTTGCAACTGATTACTGAAGATTTAGAAGAACCAAAGGAAAAGATAATCTGCAGTATGAAGAGAAAGCAGACAGAAGCCTGCATGCTGTTGGCCGAGCATAGGTCCGAGAGGAGGTGGTAAGGAAACTTGTGCAGAAGCTTCTCACAGGACAGAGATTAGCCAGACTGGAACCTGAAGGATCTGGCGCTCTCCACTGGCTGCCTTGGTGGGCCTCGAATTCCTCTACGGGGCCCTTCCCCCATCAGGTAGTATTGTAGGGGATTGGGCCACAGTTCTCCTTTGATAATCTCTGCAATTCTGTCGAATTCTAGAAGGCTGTGGTCTGAAAACCAGTTGAAGAAACTAGGGATAGTGTTCCCTTCCCGGTTTCTGTGGATATGAGCCTGGGGATCTTGGCCTCGGTGCCAGCGGATTGGAGTGGAAAGAGACACCACTCGCCCAGAGGATCTGCGCTCATATTCCTTGACGAGCCCCTCATTTCGGAAGTAGGGGTTGCCCTGAAAGATGAACTTGAATTTGCAGCCTGCTCTGGGGTGTTTAAGCTCCTCCACCTCCAAATTGATCATGTACCTCAGCATGTCTTCATCTTGGCCACTGATCATAGGTGACAGCTGGGGGTGGTTTCGAAAGGCAGTGACCCAGAAACCTGGGATATTTTGGATAATGAAACTTCTGCGCTGCATGTGGAGCCTTCGCATGCGGCCAAACTTGCGCTCAAGCTGAAGGAAGGCCCTGTCAGCCTGGGCATTTACGTTTGACAACTCTTGATCGATGGCCTCCAGCGAGTCCATGCAGTTATTGATCTTCGGGGCCCTGGGCCGTGTCTCCTCTTTCACCCCTCCTGCCACCTTTTTTTCCTTCTGCACTACCTTCTTTTCCTCCATCACCGCCCCTGCTTCTCCCTCCTTTTCCACCGCTGCTGACATGGCGCACTTTTTAGTCGTCACTTCCTTGGCCTTCTTCCCGGCTATCATCTGAGACCCCAACCCCCCTGCGCCACAGGCTTCTAGAGCCTTCTGCCCAGCAGGGCCACGGGGCTCTCCAAGCTGACAGCCATTTTTCTGGCTGTTATCAGCAGCCTCGGAGGCAGAGGCTGCTTCCAGACCTTTCGTAGAAGGTGGAGCATCCTCCTGCTCGGCTTTGGTCGCCACACAGCCGCGACTCCCGGCAACTGGGACGCGGAGCGCGGGGCCGCAGTCAACAGGATCCCGGGATGCACCTCCCTCCGCAGCGGTCTCCAGGCTGCCCCCACCTGTGTTCGCCATCACCTGTGTCGCCTCGGTTTCTTCATGGAGCACTTGGCACTGGTCTAGGTCCGGATCTCCTGAGGCATGGTCGGGAGCAGCCAGGTCGCCGGTTTGGGCGAGAGGGAGCTTGTTGCCCCCATCCAGGCCGCTCATTTTGGTAGAAGTCAGACTGGCGGTAGAGGGAGAGTTCCTTGTCCTCCGCAGCGGCCGCACTCTGCCCGAAACGTCTAGCGCCACCCCTCTTTTACTCGCCGCGGTGCTACCATGGCAACCGGTGATGTCAGAGCGGTAGCGTCCTAACATCGCGCGAGAACTCTGCGCTGGTGACTACGCTTATCAATCCGTCGTATTCCTTTGTCTTCTTGTCACAAAAAGAATTTCATCAATCTGGAAAGGGAGTTTTACTTACGTAAATGGATGTAGACCAGACTCAAACATGTGAGAACTGTGTTAATGTGGATTTATAAGCCTCTGAATGAATTTCTAAGGCACCTAAGCTATTGTTTCTTAAAATAAGGTAGTTACTGTCTATTCAAGTCAGTTCATAGGGCTTCTCGTGAGTAGGAAAGTGGATTCACAAACTCACAGGCTTTCCTTCTTTAAGGTATGGATTCTTGGCTATTACCAGAGAATTTAGATGAGCAGAGTTTGATTTTTAAAGAGAAGTGTTACTATGTTTAGTGTTATTTTTAAAATTAAGGAGCAGCTGAAAGGCAAACTTCTCTCCTCCTAACAAGACATAATAAAGGAATATTTCAATTTGTCTTACAGATTTTAAAGTTTATATAATTTGGCCAACATCTACAAAGCAAGTGGACAATATTTCCTCTTCACTTTTAACTAATAAAGAGTAGCAAAATGTTTTTCCTTACGTAGAGGTGACTAGCACAGGAGCACAAATTAAGGCTTTTAAGCGGTACTGAAAGAAATATCTCAGTGGATTTTAATTTCTAAACTGATGCATATGTTCTTTTCCTCAGGTTACAATCTTAATCTAAAAGTGTTTCCTGCTTCATAATGCCTGTAGACGTGAAGCTAACAAATCTTTGCCAAAATGTGTTCATGTGGTAATTCACTGCAGCACAGGAGCAATAATCAGCTATGTGCGGGGACATCTATGCTATTGTCTCTTAAAATATTTACTTTAAAAGTAAGGTTAGTTATTGTCTGTTCAAGTCAGTTAGCCCTTACAATTCATTTGATAGTGATTACCAGTACAATATGTTAGTTTGTTGGAGTGAGAATAATGGTGTTAATCCTTGGAAAAATGCAAGACCAAAGGGAAATGTAAATTTTGCATATTTATGTTTAATGTCTTACATTTATATTCGAATAAACGGTTATGATTATAACTCTTTGTAAAAGAAACTCCATTTTGAGCACCCCAGATTATGATCACTTTCAAATACAGACTCAGAAGTACAGGTTTAGAAAAAAAGGATTTAGAGGAATGCAGCATATATACTAAGACTTCTAGCGAGGGAAGGAGTGTAGCTCTGGTTCAACTAAGATAAAGTACTGATGGAAGGTCACTGGCAGATAATACAGAGAAACAGCCTGCCTTGCAGGGTTTTTTGTATGCCTAGTCAGCCTACCAAGGACAATGTGTCCAGAATGACCTCTTTACTGCCTGCCAGCTAATCAGTTATCCCATAAGAAGTAGCAAACAAGATTCACACAACAGAGAGCAATTATTTTTCTCTCCCTCTTTCCTCTTTGTCTTAATAAACGCTCTTTTTTTATTTGTGTGGTGAAGTCAATCTGTTGAGGTATCATCTTTGTAAACAAGTAAACAGTGTGTTATAATTGACTTTGTGACTTTGAATTATTGACACTGCTCTGTTTCTTTTCCAAAGAATCTTTGCACTGTTGAAAGAGTAACTCTTTTCCATTATAACCTGAGCCAAGTTGAAGAGAAGCAGGGAATACTGAATGAAAGTTACTTTTCCATGCAGGAGGAAAAAAGAAGTTTGCTATTATATAAATTTATAGAAAAATATAAAATTACATGTGAACTTATTTTTCTTTCTATGTGTGCCAAAATTTTTTAAAGATGTATATCTCTACTACTCAAAGCATTCCCATCTCTAGCTTTTATTAGCTCTGTTACCTGAATCATTTTTCACTCATAACCACCTGGCCATTCTTTAACACTCAGTTCATGTAGATTATACTAGGCAGTTTAAATACATTAGATTTTATAAACAAAGACCCAGTGAGCACAGAGAAGTTAACATGCCCGTGGTCACATATATATTAATTAGCAAACTGCCTCCTCCCACTTTAATTACTTTACCTCCTTCCTTGATTACTTGCCATTTTGACAGTCTTCTGATTTCTGTATAGCCCTTATGACTTTTACCATCCAACTTAGTACAGTTATGTTTCACTTAATGACAGGGATTTTGTCATTATGGGAACATCATATAGTACATCTATCAAACCTAACTGCAATAGCCTACTACACATCTAAGCTAAATAGTATATCATATTGCTCCTAGGCTACAAACCTGAACAGCATGTTGCTGAACTGAATACTGTAGGCACTTGTAACATAATGGTAAGTATTTTTGTATCTAAACATAAGAACGATACAGTAAAAATAGAGTATTATAATTTTATGGTCCCACACTTGTATATGCAGTTCATCTTTGACCAAAATGTTATACAGCAAATGACCGTAGTTATTTATCCTCTACTTTTTAACTTTATTGGTTGTTTCATTAAGGTCAATTTTATCCCAGCTAGATAATGATGACTGCATAGCAGCTTCTGTAGCATCTACGATAGTATAGCCCAGTTACTGTCTCATAGAATGTTTTAATGAATCTTGATATTTAAGTGAAAATTTAAATTTAAATAAAAATTTTGAAAGATTTTACCAATATGAATAGTGTGACTATCCTTGTGTTTCATTTTGAGGTGTGTGGATATATAATAGTAGCTATGAGTTATATTTTACATTTTTTGCATATTAGAATAATATATATTTTGTACACAGTAAAGTCTATTCTACTGGAAATTGGCAATAAACCTTACTACACAGAAAAAACTACATCAGTGACTTATGATTCTATGGAAAAATAACGATAGAAAATGCCATGAAAATCCATGAGGTAGTTTTTATTTGCAAGGAGGAAAGATTTACTGGAAGTTCAAACATAAATTTATACAGTCTAACAGAAATGACTTTACTAAAGTATACAGTAAAGATTGGAAAATTTGTGAAATATCCCCTATTGTTACATCTTTGGCCAGCAGTTTCTTTTTCAGAATGATATAGTTTCTGGTTCATTATAGCTTACATTTATTTAGTGTTTTCTATATACCATATACTTTTATGCGCTTAAATGTGTATCTCATTTAATTTTTACCAGGACCCTGTGAGGTGATATTATGACCTCCACTTCACTATGCCTCAGAAGGAATTGAGGCAATGAGAAATAAAGTGGTTTATCGAAGATTACACAGCAAGTAGTGGAGCCACAATTTGAACGAGGTAATCTGACTAGAGAGCCTGTGCACTCATTCACCATACTATTCTGCAACCTTACACAACCTATAACATGAAAAACCACCTTCTTAGAAACAAGACTGCATGACCATCCCAATTTAATGTTGAACTTTCTTCTTTATCTTCTTTTCCTTTACCTGTCTTAGTCCATTCAGGCTGCTGTAACAAAATACCATAGAGTGGGTGACTTGTAAACAGTAATTTACTTCTCACAGTTCTGAAGGCTGGGAATTCCAAGATCAAGGCACCAGCAGATTTGGTGTCTGGTGAGGGCCTGCATCCTGGTTCTTAGACTATAGTTTGTTGGTTTTTGTGTTTTGTTTTGTTTTGTTTTGCTGTGTCCTCACATGGAAAAAGGAGTGAGGGATCTCTCTGGGGTTTCTTTTATAATGGCACTATCTCATAGGGCTCTAACCAGAGGTCTCTTTTATAGGGCACTGATTGCCTCCCAGAGGACCCTATCTCCAAATACTCTCACATTGGGGATTAGGTTTCAATATATTAATTTGAGGAGGACAAAGACATTCAGTCTATAGCCTGCCCCCATCCATAAAATTAGTGACAATTGTTGAGGAAGTGCCCAGTTACTAAAGAGAAACAAGAATTCATGATTCTCTGTTTCAATACCTTAATAGTTCTCAACTCATCAGATATAACATTTATTTTTTACTTTTATTTTTATTTGATTTTATTTTTAGATGGAGTCTTACTCTGTCGTGGCCAGGCTGGAGTGCAATGGCAAGATCTTGGCTCACTGCAACATCCACCTCCTGGTTTCAAGCGATTCTCCCACCTCAGTCTCCCAAGTAGCTAGGATTACAGGCGCCTGCCACCATGCCCGGATAATTTCTTTTTTTTTTTTTTTTTAGTAGAGACAGGATTTCAACCATATCGGCCAGGCTGGCCTCGAACTCCCAACCTCAGCTGATCCACCTTGGCCTCCCAAAGAGCTGGAATTACAGCTGTGAGCCACCGGGCCTGGCCAGATATAACATTTATTTTTATAACATGTTTTCCTTTCTTGAAATTCATATTGTATATCAACATGCACATTTTTTAAAGTCATTATAATAACTTAGCTGTAATTTAAAGGAAAAATAAAAGGAACGTAATTTTTAAAATATCTATTTTAAAATATAAATGCTTTGACATGCCAACACTTTATGGCATGATAAATTAGATGGTTATACCTGTAGACTCACTAGTGTATGAAACTACTGATGCAACTTGATATAGGTGTAAGGTACTAAAGACATAAGCAGCAATGCTTTTCTGAGATAGATTTTCTGAAATTTTGAGCAGCTTTATGATAAAGTTCTGGAGGAAAAGGACAGAATTTCCCCAATTCACATTTATATCTCTTTGATTATAAGACACACCTTTTTTCCCCACATTTCTTTTTATTTAACTTTTAAGTTCATGGGCATATGTGCAGGATATATAGGTAAAGATGTCATTGGGGTTTATTGTACAGATTATTTCATCACCCAGATATTAAACCTAGTACCTATGAGTTATTTTTCATTATCTTCTCCCTCTCCCAACCTTCCACCCTTAGATAAACCCCAGTGTGTGTTGTTCATCCATGTGTTCTCATCATTTAGCCCCCACCTGTAAGAGAATATGTGATACTTGGTTTCCTGTTCCTGCTTTAGTTTGCTAAGGATAATGGTCTACAGCTCCATCCATGTTCCTGCAAAGGACATGATCTCATTCTTTTGTATGGCTGCATAGTATTCTATGGTGTATATGTACCACATTTTCTTTAGCCTATCATTGATGGTCATTTAGGTTGATTCCATGGCTTTGCTATGTGAATAACACTGCAGTGAATATAGACATGCATATGTCTTTATGATATAACGATTTATATTCCTTTGAGTAAATACCTATTAATGGGATTGCTTGGCCAAACAATAGATCTGTTTTGAGGTCTCTGAAGAATCACCACACTATCTTCCACAATAAATGAACTAATTTGTACTCTCACCAACAGTGTATAAGCATTACTTTTTTTCCACAACCTCGCCAGCATCTGTTATTTTTTTACTTTTTAATAATAGCCATTCTGACTGGTATGAGATAGTATCTCGTTGTGGTTTTGCTTTGCATTTCTCTAATAATCAGTGATGTTGAGTTTTTTTTTTTATATGAATATTGGCTGCATGTATGTCTTTTTAAGAAGTGTCTGTCCATGTCCTTTGCCCACTTTTTAATAGAGTTGTTTTTTCTTGTGAATTTAAGTTCTTTATAGATGCTGGATATTAGACTTTTGTCACATGCATCGTTTGAAAACATTTTCTCCCATTCTGTAGATTGTCTTTTCACTCTGTTGATGGTTTTCTTTGCTGGGCAGAAGCTCTTTCATTTAATTAGATACCATTTGTCAATTTTTGCTTTTGTTGCAATTGTTTTTGGTGTCTCTGTCATGAAATCTTTGTCCATTCCTATGTCCAGAATGGTATTGCCTAGGTTGTCTTCCAGGGTTTTTATAGTTTTGGGTTTACATTTAAGTCTTTAATTCATCGTGATTTAATTTTTGTATATAGTATAAGGAAGGGGTCCAGTTTCAATCTTTTGCATATGATTAGCCAGTTATCCCAGTACCATCTATTGAATAGGGAATCCTTTCGTCATTGTTTGTTTTTGTCAGGTTTGTTGAAGATCAGATACCTGTATGTATGCAGTCTTATTTCTGAGTTCTGTATTATGTTCCATTGGTCTACGTGTCTGTGTTTGTATCAGTCCCATGCTGTTTTGGTTACTGTAGCCCTGTATTATTGTTTGAAGTTGGGTAGTGTGATACCTCGATATTTGTTCTTTTTGTTTAGGATTTCCTTGTGTATTTGGGCTCTTTTGACTTCCATTTGAGTTTTAAAAGAGTTTCTTCTAGTTCTGTGAAGAATGTCAATGGTAGTTTAATAGGAATAGCATTGAATCTATAAACTGCTTTGGGCAGTAGGGCCATTATAACAATATTGATTCTTCCTACTCATGAGTGTGTAATGTTTTTCCTTTATTTCATCTCTGATTTCTTTGAGCAGTGTTTTGTCATTCTCCTTGTAGAGAACTTGAACCTCCGTGGTTAGGTGTATTCCTAGATGCTTATTTATTTATTTATTTATTTAGAGATGGAGTCTCGCTCTGTTGCCCAGGCTGGAGTGCAGTGGCGCAACATCGGCTCACTGCAAGCTCTGCCTCCCGGGTTCACGCCATTCTCCTGCCTCAGCCTCCCGAGGTACTTTATTTTTTTTGTGTGTGTGTGGCTATTGTGAATGGAATTTCCCTCCTGATTTGGCCCTCAGCTTGACTGTTTTTGGTGTGTAGGAATGCTAGTGATATTTACACATTGATTTTGTATCCTGAGACTTTGCTGACATTATCAGCTTAAGGAGCTTTTGGGCTGAGACTATGGGGTTTTCTAGATACAGGATCATGTAGTCTGCAAAGCAGGATCATTTGACTTCCTTTCTTCCTATTTGGATGCACTTTATTTCTTTCTCTTGCCTGATTGCCCTGGCCAGGACTTCCAATGCTGTGTTGAATAGGAGTGGAGAGAGTGAGCATCCTTGTGTTGTGCTGCTTTTCCGGAAGAATGTGTCCAGCTTTTGCCTATTCATTATGATGTTGGCTGTGGGTTTGTCATAGATAGCTCTTGTTATTTTGAGGTATGTTCCTTCAATACTTACTTTATTGAGAGTTTTTAACATGAAAGGAGTGTTGAATTTTATTGAAGGCCTTTTCTGCATCTATTGATATAATCATATGGTTTTTGTCTTCAGTTCTGTTTATGTGATGAATCACATCATTGATTTGTGTTTGTTAAACCAACCTTACATCCCAAGGATAAAGCCGTTTTGATCATGGTAGATAAGCTTTTTGATGTGCTCCTGGATTTGGTTTGCTAGTAGTTTGTGGAGAACTTTTGCATTGATGTTCAGCAAAGATATTGACCTGAAATTTTCTTTTTTTGTTGTATCTCTGCCAGGTTTTGGTATCAGGATGATGTTGACCTCATAGAATAAATTAGGGAGGATTCCCTCCTTTTCTTTTTTTTTTTTTTTTTTTTTGAATAGTTTCAGTAGGAATGATACTAGTTCTTCTTTGTACATCTGGTAGAATTCAGCTGTAAATCTCTCTGGTTCTGGGTTTTTTTGTTTTTTGCGTTTTTTTGGTTGGTAGGCTTTTTATTACTGATTAAATTTCAGAACTCACTATTGGTCTGTTCTTGGATTCAGTTTCTTCCTAGTTAAGTCTTAGGAGGTTGTATGTATCCAGGAATTTATCCATTTCTTCTAGATTTTCTACTTTATGAGCATAGAGGTGTTCATAATATTCTCTGATGGTGGTTTGTATTTCTGTAGGGTCAGTGGTAATATCCTCCTTGTCACTTCTGATTGTGTTTATTTGAATCTTCTTTTTGTCTCTATTAGTCTAGCTAATGGTCTGTTTTATTAATGTTCTCAGAAAACCAGCTCCTGGATTTGTTGATCTTTGAAATGTCTTTTTGTGTCTAAATCTCCTTCAGTTCAGCCCTGATTTTGGTTATTTCTTGTCTTTTGCATGCTTATGATTTGTTTGCTCCTGGTTCTCTATTTCTTTTACTTGTGATAATTAGGTTTTTAACTTAAAACCTTTCTAACTTTTTGATGTGGGAATTTAGTGCTATAAATTTCCTTCTTAACATTGCCTTAGCTGTGTCCCAGAGATTCTGGTATGTTGTATCTTTATTCTGATTAGTTTCAAAGAACTTCTTGATTTCTGCCTTAATTTCATTATTTACTCAAAAGTCATTCAGGAGCAGTTATTCAATTTCCATGTAATTGTATGGTTTTGAGTGAATTTATTTGTCTTGATTTCTAATTTGATTTTGCTGTGGTTCAGGAGATTTTTTGTTATGACTCTGTGCCCACCAAGGCTCTGTCTACAATGGCAGTCATCAGGGGGAGGGGAGTAAACAGCACTCCCACATGCCTGGGGGGCAA